CGAGAGGTGACGAGAGCCTGAGTGACTGTGCGCAAAGCGTCCCGGTCCAGAAAGGGGCGCAACTGGTAAATCAGGCGCACCTGATAAAACGCCCCCCTGGTCACGGCCGACAAATGATCTTCCAGTGTCAGCCGTGGATCCAGGAGGACTCCCAGATTGCGCGCCCTCTCTGAGGGGGCCAAAAATTCGCCCCCTATAGTCAGCGATGGAACCAACTGACTATGCCGGGGCGCCGGCAGCCACAGCCACTCGGTCTTGGAAGGGTTGAGTCTGAGTCTGTTCCTTCCCATCCAGACCCGTACGGCCTCCAGGCAACGGGCCATCACGTCAAGGGCATCGTTGGGGTGACCCGGGGTGGAGATGTACAGAGATGTTCATGGTAGGCCTTGGATGATGTGCTGGAAGCCACACTCCAAAAAGTAGGTTGGGTTAATCAAGTAATTTTGGTCAAGCAAAAAGTAGACTCGGTCAAGAAAAATCAAATAGGTCTGGTCAAGACAAGAAAAAAATAGTAATTTGAGTTAATGGACACTGAAGTTGGTTGAAACTGAATAGAATAGAACAGAACAGAACAGAACAGAACAGAACAGAACAGAACAGAACAGAATAGAATAGAATAGAATAGAATAGAATAGAATAGAATAGAATAGAATAGAATAGAATAGAATAGAGTTACAGGATAGAATTACAGGATAGAATAGAATAGAATTACAGGATAGAATAGAATAGAATAAGACTAGACTAGACTAGACTAGACTAGACTAGACTAGACTAGACTAGACTAGAATAGAATAGAATAGAATAGAATAGAATAGAATAGAATAGAATAGAATTACAGGATAGAATTACAGGATAGAATAGAATAGAATTACAGGATAGAATAGAATAAGACTAGACTAGACTAGACTAGACTAGACTAGACTAGACTAGAATAGAATAGAATAGAATAGAATAGAATAGAATAGAATTACAGGATAGAATTACAGGATAGAATTACAGGATAGAATAGAATAGAATATATAGAATGGAATGGGATGGAATGGAATGGAATAGAATAGAATAGAATAGAATAGAATAGAATAGAATAGAATAGAATAGAATAGAATTACAGGATAGAATTACGGGATAGAATTACAAGATAGAATAAAATAGAATAGAATAGAATAGAATAGAATAGAACAGAACAGAACAGAACAGAACAGAACAGAACAGAACAGAACAGAACAGAATAGACTAGAATAGAATAGAATAGAATAGAATAGAATAGAATAGAATTACAGGATAGAATTACAAGATAGAATAAAATAGAATAGAATAGAATAGAATAGAATAGAATTACAGGATAGAATTACAAGATAGAATAAAATAGAATAGAATAGAATAGAATAGAATAGAACAGAACAGAACAGAACAGAACAGAACAGAACAGAATAGAATAGAATAGAATAGAATAGAATAGAATAGAATTACAGGATAGAATTACAAGATAGAATAAAATAGAATAGAATAGAATAGAATAGAATAGAATTACAGGATAGAATTACAAGATAGAATAAAATAGAATAGAATAGAATAGAATAGAATAGAACAGAACAGAACAGAACAGAACAGAATAGAATAGAATAGAATAGAATAGCTTTACTTGGCCAAGTCTGATTAGACACACATGGGATTTGTCTGTTTGTGACAAATGCAGCTAATACAATTTCTCGCTCTCAAAATGCACGTCTCACAGAGGCTCATGGAAGTAATATGGACATTGGTAGAAATCTTCTCCGTTAAATCCCTTCCTGGTGCGTAGCAGTTTTCACCCGTGAGCAAATGCGCAAGTCTAGAAGTTTCCTGCCCTCTTCTGCAAATCTTAAAACAGATTTCTCCCTTTCCGATTTCAGTCTCTACCCCCCCTTGTGCGCCAGTGATGAACGCTCAGGATCCCAGTTCAGCTACTGGGACGTCTGTGAAAATTTGCTGGAGCTTTTTCTCAGAAGATATTGTGGAAAGCTACCAACTCTATTACAAGCGAGTGAGCAATGACACATCCAACACGGAGCAAGAAGGTAAAGAGACCAAAACCAGATCAGGTAGAATGAAAAACAAAATGTCTCTGACTAAACTCTTAATGACAACATCTGCCTTGAGGTCGTTCTGCAAAGACAGAAATGGAAGTGGCATTTCTCTGCTGATTTTATTGTGATTTTATCTGCTGCTTTTCTGATCAGCATCCTGATTGCTCGAGTTAGTGGAGCTTTAATATATTTTACTTGTTATTTTGCCCCCAGGCTATTAAATCTTTAGAATGTGAGCTCTGGAAATGAGCAAGGTGTCTATCTGGGAGCTACACGCAATTTGTGGCTTGTTCAATCCAAGCCTAGTTTAGAAAAAGAAAGACTGCAACATAATACGCTGTTATTCCAGAATGAAATAAGCTATTACTTAAGAATCTGTGGCAATTTCAAAGAAGCCCTTAAATCTTTGTACTTTCCAATTGCAGAGTTTAAGCTAAATGTGAAAGAAACCTACTGCACAGTCGCTCAACTGGTGCCTAACACACAATATGAATTTTGGGTAAAAGCAGTAAACAGAGCTGGGGTCAGCTCAGCCAGCGAAAGAGCCGTGTATATGACAGGTAAATGGCTTCCCGTGTTATGTTTTGATTTAGGAAAACAATAACTTTTTATTGACCTATGCAAAGTGGGGACCAGGCTACCCAAAGCTCTCTTTTTTTGCTAAACTGTGGGAGAGAGATTAAGATCACAACCCCAATCCTTGAAGGTTTATCCAGATGGTGCTGACTTTAGATAAAAAATATTTCTCAAAAAGTCGTGCTATTTAATTTTTTAACCAATAGTTTATTTTTTTTAAAAAAGTTTCAGCTTAATTATATAATAAAAATGATCTATATCAGTGGTGGCGAACCTATGGCACGGGTGCCAGAGGTGGCACTCAGAGCCCTCTCTGTGGGCACATGCACCGTCACCCCAGTCCTAGGCCTTCAACTGGGTTTTATAAAACCTTTTCGCTTTAGGCCTCTGCCGCCGTGTGCAAAAAAAAAAAAGGTTCAATAAATCAATCAATTTCAACTTCTTGCGGGGAAAAAAAGATCTTGCAAAGTTGGAATTGATTGATGGAACTTTTTATCCCACCCAGTCTGCCGTTACCATCTCAGCCACGTCCACCCAATTGGGCACGGCCACCCTATTGGCCACACCCAGCCAATGGGCCACACACACCCTGGCACTCGACGATACATAAGTGGGTTTTGGGTTGCAGTTTGGGCACTCGGTCTGTAAAAGGTTCGCCATCAATGATCTATATCCTCTACGGTTGTCTGTCTTTAGTTATATCAAATGGTGGGGGAAGAAGCTTAAATCAATATTGCCATTTTATTCTAGCTTTTAAACTGAATTGACTAAATTTTGAATGAAGTCATTTTAGGATGTGTTTTGAGTGGTTGATTGCCTTGAATTCTCTTCCCAGCTGGAAAGGTAACCTAGAAATCCAAAGCCTAATATTTTATTAGTGATCCCAGCCTTTGCTACTTATAGTCTAGATTTTCACTCAACGAAAAACAGCTTTTGTTTGTCAGTGCTTCAAAGGACTCCTGTATGGTGTGTGTTTTTAGCTCCTCTGCCGCCTGTTATCAAAGAGAAGGTGATTCAGAGCTGTGAAAACGCTGCCCTGGTGCAATGGGAATGTGGAAATATTAATCCCGTGGAATCCTACACTGTTGAGTTGTCTAAGATGGCTGGTGGAGATGGAGGAGACATTCTCACTGAGTAAGTTGCACAGGGTTTGATACGCACATATTCTACCCTATCATGACTTCATGGTCATTTTCAGTGATACTCTGGATCTTTTTAGTAGAATCATGCAGTACTTGGGCACAAGGCTACGGAGCAACCCTTACTCAACCCTATGGAAAGCTTTGGGACCGCAGGTCCTACGGAGCGTAAAAGAAATATTCATCCCCATCAGTCCAAGAACTCCTTTTGCTATGGTTATTTCCAAAATGTTGCACTTGTCCAATAGAGATCAGCATTACAATGTAAGATCTAGCATATTTAGAACATGACCAGGAAGAATACACCAAATTATAGGTGAAATAGGTTTTTTCAATTGTTTTTGCTACCAAATAATGACTGCTCCAGGCCATTTCCTTCCTTCCTTCCTTCCTTCCTTCCTTCCTTCCTTCCTTCCTTCCTTCCTTCCTTCATTCATTCATTCATTCCTTTCCTCCCTCCCTCTCTCCTTCTTTTTTCTTCCTTCCTTCCTTTCTTCCTTCTTTTTCCTTCCTTCCTTCCTTCCTTCCTTCTTTTCTTCCTTCCTTCCTTTTTTCTTTTTCTTTCTTTCTTTCTTTCTTTCTTTCTTTCTTTCTTTCTTTCTTTCTGTGTCTGCAAACACACATAGAATATTCATTCATATTTACTGTTAGTAAGAGAAATCAATTATTTCCTATTTGCCACTCTCTCAAAGGAAGCAGAGATTGGGAAGGGGGGGGTCCTAACTCCCTCCCACCATTTCCTTGGTGTTTTGTTTTTCTCTGGTCAATTTCATAATCCTTTGGGCAATTTCACAGATAGAAGGTTCCCTATTATGCTGTGATGTTTCTGCTATGGATGAGGATGGTCAACTTATCCAGGGAGGCCATCAACCGATAGAGATTTTCAAAGGCACTGTAGTGGGCTGTGCACTGGAATAGATTTTTCCAGGTGGAAAAAAAGCTATGATCAGTTACCAAGTTTATGACTGAGCTAGGAATCATACTGATACCTTGTAAAGCTTGTTTATCTCTTTCTTTCATGTTAATCTCCGATCTCCAATATGGTAGAAAATAGAAAATTGGGAGGTAGCTTTCTGTGTTACTTCTCAACTCTTTCTGAGATTCCCAGGATCACAAATAAGTTGTTCTTCCTTTCAAAAGCGACTGTATGTAAGCATGCTTTCCACTTTTTTTTCCAGATCTGTTGTTGGAATTCCAAACTGTGAGGCACTGATTCAGCTGGAGCCAAAACAAAATTACCTTCTCTTTGTGAAGGCCATCAATATAGGAGGATCTAGCGAAAGGAGTGAGCCAGCTTCTATCTTTAGCACAGGTAGGTAGTAAGAACGTAGTCTTAGCACGTACCCTTTGCAAATTGTGGCATCCTGTTTTACACTGCTTCTAGTAGTGCTTTTTAAAAATGATTTTACTTTATTTCCAAAAATAAGCAGAAGGTGGGGGGGGGGAATCAAGAGATGCTGTGTGGAAAGAGCAGTTTGCCTGGGTTATGAGGGTATCTTGGCACCCTTTGAAGGGAATCAAATGCTATTCAAATAGAGAAAAAAAAACAAAGTGGGGAACAGTTTCACATATACCTCCATTTTCCACCCACCCCCTTCCAAAAACACTTTATTCGTTTTGGAATAAAAGCACCCACTCTTTAGTAGTCTGAAAAATGGATGGTGAAAGCTGGAATGGTATTCTCCCTCCAACTCTTCATTGCATTCAGTTGGCTCAAGTCCATGGAAAAGCCTTTCTCCATGGAACTGGTCCATGGTGACCAAAAGGTTAGGGACCTCTGGTCTAATCTAATACAAGAGAATATTTATAACTCAGGGTCCGTGGTGCTTTCTGAGCTCGGTGGTTTTCTTGCAGACACTTCATTACCCAACTAGGAAGCATCAACGGTGCATTAATATTGTTTACTTCTTGATTGTTGGTCTAGTGTTGATCTTCGGGTTAATCTCTGCTATTTTGGTTGTTCTACCACTGGTGATGTTACACGGTTGGGTAATGAAATATCTGCAAGAAAACCACCATACTCAGAGACTACCGAGAAATTCACAGGTAGTCCAATCTGTTTCAAGGCAATACCTTGACTAGTCACAAAAAGCTTTGCTGAAAAAGTTCATCTGGATGAGGGCGGAGGGGCTCTGTAAATGTTCCAAGGGGAACGTCTGAGCACCAGGAGCAGTAAGCGAGTACAAGCAAATCCATGGGACTGAATAATTAGAACACAATTTCATTTCTCTGACAGGAACTGTATTTACCCTCAACGAAAGGACAGCGCATCCCTCCTTGTCCATCCTGGAAGATGGGCTGACACTGGTCTGCCACAAAAACAAGAGTGCCCAAAGTGACACACCCTTTGGCGAAGACAGTTTTACAAGGTTTGGGAATCTTCATGCCTAGTCTGCGTTCTTTAATCCCATTGTATTACTTCACTCTCCTTTCTTTTGAGAGGACCCAGGACCTCTGAAAACGCACTTTGGACAGTGCAAAACTGCTTGCAACAGCTGAAAGCAAAAGGTGACAAACAGTCATAGGGGCTGGATTTTAGAGCTTCCATTGTTCTGATTCTGACTTAAGATATTGCATCTGTAGTTTAAAGGCAGCATAAATATATTCTAAATAAAACAACTAGTAACTATCATGGACAATGACGTCAGTACTGCTACTCCTAATTGATCATATAAGATCATTTCGCCAAATACCTTCTGGCTCATGGCCAAGATCAGCTGGGAAGGCTGACTTATTACCCAGGTAGACTCCTGTCAGGTACAAAAGTTCAGGACCACTTGTGAAGTTCTAATTAAACTGATGTATTTACTAATCATGCCTAATGCACAGGAATCTACTAAAAAATGGTTAGGACAGTCTTGACGCTAGATAAGGGCCAATGGAATTCAAGAGGGATTGGTCTTATTCCTCTTGTGGCTACATAGAGACTATTTTGTATTTTTATCTGGTTGTTAGCCGCCCTGAGTCCGTAAGGAGAAGGGCGGGATATAAATATAAACAATAAATAAATAAATAAATAAATAAATAAATAAAGCTGATTCCTCTTTTGACTCCATCCCCAGGCTCTGTCACTCCTTCTCCTACAATTCCAGGTTCACCTTAATTTGGAGTTGAAGAGCAGCTCCCAAGTTAGGATCTTAGGATCTCTCTCAAAAGGAAGAGTGTTGACTACTTGAATGGGGGGGGGGGAATCCTACTCCAAGCATATAGCCATATTCACTATCTCAAGCTGCACCTGTCCGATTTCTGTGATATTCCGGGTTTCCTTATTTAATTGTCACTCTGCCATTTCTTCCCTGGAAATCTCAAAAATCCAATCATTTTATCCACAACTTGACTAATGCCCAAATTGGGGGATAACAAGATCATCCAGAAGATGACTCAATTCCATCAGTAAAGTGAATATCTTGAAAATTGACCCACGTTCCCGCGCGCCCCTCTCTCTCTTTTTTTTTGATAGATCCATTGCTGTAATGGGATACCCGATCCCATTCCGAGGAAAACATTACTGGGAGGTCGACGTTGATGAGATCACTGAATATTGCATTGGGGTGGCTTTTGAAAATGTACCAAGAGATGATTACTTGGGTGCAAGCCATTCCTCCTGGTGCATGAAGCACACCATTACTTCCTCCAGGTACAGCTTCATCTTTTTTATGTATAAATGTTTTATTAAGTTTTATAAGGGTAGGGAAGGGGTAAGGTCGATATGGATGTTGGATGGGGTTAGGGAATGGGGTTGGGATAAGGGCAGGGATAAATACCGCAATGGACTGTGGGTGGCTCACAGAGAAAGGTGGAAATTAACTATGCTAGCTTTTGGGCGGGAAACCCAGAGCTAGTTTTGCTTCGTCTGTGCCAGTATAGTTTATTCAATAAAGTTTATACTCTTAGTAAAATAATGTCCCAGGAGTTTCTTTTTCTGAATCTGTCAACTGGACATTTGACACCTTGTGGGCTATTAGAGCTGGCCAATGTTGGATACCTACGATTTAAAGCTTCTGGTGTGAAAAATCTCTTTTTCCTTATGCAGCCATGTCTATGAATTTCTCAACGATGGGATAACACCCAACATCAAGATCACAGTTCCTCCTGAGAAGATTGGCCTTTTACTGGACTACGATGAAGGGACTCTCTCATTTTTTAACGCTGATATCATGCAACACCTGTACACCTTCCATGGCAACTTTCAAGAATTTGTGTGTCCCTGTTTCGCGGTGAAAGGCGTCGGCGTGCTCAAGATTCGAAATGGTATCACAGTACCGCCACAAGTTGCTTTGTGATTCAGGGTAGCAAGATGCAGCACACTTAATAAGCAATGTAGCACACTTCCAGCCTCCCCCTCCCAAACTTTTCTCTTCCCCCCCCCCAAACTTTCTGTATTATTTATTTTTTAATTTGATTAGTGTGGGAGACAGGACCGTATTGTTCATAAAGTAAATGCCGCCAAATACTTTAAAATGTGTCTCTTGCTGCTTGTACACAAAAAAACCCCAAAACACTTAATCTGACCAGCTGGAATCCTAACAGCTTCATTTACACAAATGTTAATTAACCTAGTGAGTTGTGAGAGGGTTTTTTTTTTTCCCTAGTTTGACTCGCTTAGCAAACCCAGCCTGTTAGGCTAAATAATGGCTTTGAGTATTGCACATTCCAAGGAAATATTTTCATCTAGTATGCGACGTAAATATTTTGGATCAACATGTGGACACTTTTTTTCTTTATACTGTAAATCAGCGGTCCCCAACCTTTGCGGCTTGGCGGCCTGGCGGGGGGGGAGGGAGAAGGGAACTGGATGGCATGAGCGGCGGGCTGGTGCATACACACACACAAGCGCACAAGTTGAGCTGTGCACACTGTGCATGTCAGCTTACCACTTGTGCAGCCCGATTCTGAATAGGCCAGTGGTCCTCAAGCCATCCAGTCATTTCTGACTCTTGGCGATTCTATGGGCTAGGTCAGGGGTAGGCAACCTTGGCTCTTTTATGACTCGTGGACTTCAACTCCCAGAATTCCTGAGCCCGCATGGCTCAGCTTGGAAACCTCTCCCTTTCCCCTCAGCATGGCTGGCTCAGGAATTCTGGGAGTTGAAGTCTACGAGTCATAAAAAAGCCAAGGTTGCCTACCCCCTGGACTAGGTCTTTCCACATCTTCCAATCTTGTACTCCTTTGATTAATTCTATGCTCTGGCTGGTGTCAGCTTTGATGGTGACCAGCCACCCTGTTCCCTCGCATGGCATAGCCAAAGTAAGTGAGACCCAGTTTTGTGATTTTGCCTTCCGGTGATATGCAATGTAATTCAAACCACATCCATTTCCCCAATCTGCTCCTTCTTTGTTTAGCTCTTCAGCCATTGATTAAATGTAGAGTTTTTCGTTAATATACATTGCAGGTCTTAGTTGAGGGAAAACATGGATCAACCTGTGTCAGTAATAATACATCAGATGCCACTGTGAGTTTTCAAATCCATACCTGTCACAAAAGTGCTTCTCAAATGCTGTTCTCATACCACCACCTTAAACAAAAAGAAACCCCTTCAAGCATGGGTCATTAAATCATAAATAGGTCTCTTCTTTACCTGCTACAATGCTTATATTTATCCAAAGACTTGCTTCATGCATCGCACTAAGCTATAAAGTGATTTATCTGGTGTGTGCTTAGCATGGGAGTAGGAATTGCATTTTTCAGCTAGCTGGAGAAAAATGAAATCCAGCCTCGGTTTCCAATTTAAAGGGCTGAAGCCCAAGATCACTATTGCAAGGCAGTGTTTCAAGTTGCAAGGCAATGTGGCATCTTGTTGTGATCACACAACTCAAGAGGAATAAAGCTGGCGGGCCTCAAATCATCACAAATGTGTTTTTCCAGTGCTGTGTCTCCTGACTAAGCTGCTTAGGGACTAAGATGGAATGAGAGAAAAGTATGTGTTCAGATGAGTTTCATTGTGCGATTCCGGAGAGAATTGTAGCAGTAGAAGAGGGAAAATGGCTTTTCATCCATGCTTCCTTACTATATGAAAAATCAACTGCTATTGGGGAAAAAAATGTGGAGACAGAGTGAGTTGATTATCATCTTCACCGTGGATGCTTTCATTAGCCAGGATTCTGTTCCCAAGATAAAATAAAAAATAAAAATTGAATGCAATTGGAGAGCTGAGTAACGTAGTGATGATGTCATTGCTTTAGGGTACCATCAGAAAAAGAGGCAAAAGGAAGGAAGGAAGGAAGGAAGGAAGGAAGGAAGGAAGGAAGGAAGGAAGGAAGTTCCTGAATTGCAAGATGGGCAGCAAATAAATTTGAGGAAGAAGGAAGGAAGGAAGGAAGGAAGGAAGGAAGGAAGAAAGGAAGTTCCTGAATTGCAAGATGGGCAGCAAATAAATTTGAGGAGGAAGGAAGGAAGGAAGGAAGGAAGATATAGAACAAAATGAAGACATATTTGGATCATCAATAAATAATAGCAACATGGTTTGTGTTTTTCTATAATGCCTTCACACAGATGCCTTAATGCCTTAATTTATATGTGGTTGTGTTGGAGGAAAAAAATGGCCTTAGAGAACATTTAGTTACTTGCATACCACCTCACAACCTACATTCACTCTGCAGGAACAAGGGGGAAATTTCTTTAAAGCATCAAAGCTGCAGAGTTTCTTTTTCTGGCTGCAGAGATCCTGCTCAGAGCAAACTGGCCTAAGGAATCCGTGGTTCGCTCCATCATCTCCAGCCAGATAGATCTTTTGCAGCAACAAGTGCCAAAGCCAGGCAAAGTGCTGTGTAATTCACAAAATGGTGCTGTTGACTGCCTTCCAAAGAGAAGGACCAATGCTGAAAACACAGCAACCCACCGCTCTAAACCCCAGGGTGCCAGATTGCAGGCTAACTCTGCCTCCTGCCAGGAGTTCGATGCTGACCGGCTCAAGGTGGACTCAACCTTCCATCCTTCTGAGGTCGATAAAATAAGGACCCAGATTGTTTGGGGGTCAATATGCCGACTCTCTAAACTGCTTAGAGAGGGCTGTAAAGCACTGTGAAGCGGTATATAAATCTGTGCTATGGCTAGAGCTCTTTTTGTATTAATGCAGATTTCTGCCTTGTGCAAAGCAGAACAGTAGATGGCAGGAGAGACTTGAAGTTCAGATGTTGTTGAACTTCCATGCGGAAGGCTTTGAGTTCTAGGCCCCTGGTTAGGCATGGATGGATAAATAAATACATAGATGGATAAATACATAGATGGATAAATAAATACATAGAAAGAAGTTGACTCAGTGACATCGTATAGGTCTCCTGAAACCACCCCCCCCTAAACAAAAATACAGAAGAGGGTCTGTCTGGAAACCATGCCAAACTCAGCTTACCAAAAACATTTTGGAAGGTGCTAGATCTCCAAGATTTGAAGAGAAGGACCGGGGGGGGGGGGGGGACATGATAGCAGTCTTCCAATATCTCAGGGGCTGCCATAAAGAAGAGGGAGTCCAGCTATTCTCCAAAGCGCCTGAAGGCAGGACAAGAAGCAACGGGTGGAAACTAATCAAGGAGAGAAGCAACCTAGAACTAAGGAGAAACTTCCTGAGAGTGAGAACAATTAACCAGTGGAACAACCTGCCTCCAGAGGTGGTGAATGCTCCAACACTGGAAGTTTTTAAGAAGAACCCTATACCATTTGTCCGAAATGGTATAGGGTTTCCTGCCTGAGCAGGGGATTGGACTAGATGACCTTCAAGGTCCCTTCCAACTTTACTATTATTATTATTATTATAACAGGGCAAATGAATTTTTCTTCCAGTGCAAAGAGAAAAATCTCATCCTAGTAAAACTTTTAAGAATGTTCCGTTCTTTCTCCAAATCCAGTGCTGGAAACCTTGGGTTAAATTGCCCCCTAGCAACAACTGTACAACCTCTGACTGAAGATTTCCAGCGTGGGAGAGTGAATCCATTTATTGTACCTCCAGGCCATCAGTTCCGTTGCTGACTTTCCTTTATTGTCTCGTTCCCTCGAATATTAAGGTAAAATCTACCCTTTTGTAACATAAGCTTATTGAATTGAACCTTACCATTAGGTTTTTCTCTGCAGGAATTAAAACAAAATTAAAGGAGAGTTCAGATTCTCCTCAACTGATAGTAATGGAGCCTGGAATTTCCAGTTGTAAGTTGAGGCATCCACAGGACCAACCTGATTTTACATCTTTTTAGTGCTGATTGTATATTGTTTATGCCCTGGTTGTGAAGAGAATCCATGCATTCCTATGGGTGTTTTTTGCCAGAAACCAGAAAAGGGCATCATAAATTGTGGTCACATGATCACAGAATTTTCTGCTGCAACTATTCTAGAATCTAGTCTAATCTAGTCTAGTCTATTATTATACTCCTCTCCTCTCCTCTCCTCTCCTCTCCTCTCCTCTACTCTCCTCTACTCTACTCTACTCTACTCTACTCTACTCTTAACTTCCATCCCATCCCATTCCATTATTATTATTCATTACAATTCCACTGTTTCCTGTCATATTTCATAGAGTTCAGATGCTCAGATACCCAGAGTGCAAACACATGCAGTCTTTATGTGGAATCTCTTTTGTCCTTGCGGATTTTGTTTCCTAAATATTTTTTCTACTTCTGCAAATCCTTTCAAGTACAATAGTTCTCCCCTGTTTCCCAGGACCCTTTTTAAATGGCCTAGTAATATCTTAACTCTGCACTTCAATTTGCCCTTCTATATTTGTCCTGACTATAACACCTGTCATCTCCCTATGTCAAGATGTCCAAAAGCACCAGGTTGGAGAAGGCAGATAGATGCAATCTGGGACCAGTGGCTAATTCTTGATGAATGTCATGAATTACATACTTACAGAACCTTCATTGTTCACGAAGGACCGAAGGTCAAAGAAGAGACTCCTGAACTTTTGCACCCCCTGATCCAGCTGGAGTTCATACTTTATTCTTGGAAATGTCCCTTATTGACCTAGAGAAAAAGGCAGCTGTTCGATTCCCATATATGTAATCAACTGGCCTAAGAGACAATGTGTGAGCCAATTCTGCTGAGCCTCAATCAATCTTCTGAGATTCTTGTGTGGGAAAGGGCTTCTGTCAATGGCCAGATTTAATGCATTCTTGGTTGATTGTGACTTAACAAAAGCCATGTTCTGGACTGCTGTTTCTCTTAAATTCCTTGTGTGTCTAACCATACTTGACCAAATAAAATATTATCCTACTCTACTCTACTCTACTCTACTCTACTACACTACACTACACTACACTACACTACACTACACTACACTACACTACACTACACTACACTACACTACACTACATTACACTCCTTTCCTTTCCTTTCCCTTTCCTCTCCTCTC